GGGAGTTGGCCACTGCCAGGGCTGAGGCAGACGGATGGTTTGACATCCAGCACCAAGTGTTTCTCTGGCACTGCTCCACATCTTATATCATGCTCAGCACAAAAGAACCTTGGAGTTTACTAAGCCTCTCTCCACAGCTGGCTTCACCACAGGCTCTGGGGTCAGTGCTTCTGTCGTGACAGCAGGTTTTGTTTAGAGCCTTACCTGAGAACATGACTGCACTGTTCAGCTCCTGAAGATGTTCTGCATGGTGGTGGCTGGTCAGGTTTTGCCCTGTCTTAGCTCCCTATAAATGCCAGTGTTGGCAGTTCCCTTGTGTCACATCACCAAGGTTCAGCCTTCAGTAATTTGCCACTTTCCCTTCAGGGAATCTGAGGCAGCACCTGCACAGAACTGTTTAGAAGAAGTTGTAGGTGCCTTATGGATCTAGATCAGTGGTCTCCACAGTGGGATGTATAAGACAATCTATTTTTTTTTACAGTTAATATTTAAAATTTTTAATATTTTCTTATATTTTAATATTTAATATTTTTTACAGCTAATACATTTTTAAAAATCAAATAGCGGTTATTTCATCCTTTTCCTTTGTAAATGTCTATTTTTGTGTATGTTTTATAAAGTACATAATGGGTTATTACATGGAGATAATTTATAGATAAATATATACATTGGGGTGTACACTCAAAACTTTTTTACTTATGGGGACTTGGAGACTGCTGATCTAGATGTTCAGAGAAGGATGAGGATGATGGCCATGGCACAAAGATCTTCCACAACAAGAATCCTAAAGACTGATACTAAGCTTTGAAGAGGGAATATGACATAAAGATATAGAGTAATGTAAAAACCCTGGGTGATGCTGCTGGGAAGCTCCCTGTCTTGTCATGCAGGTGCACGAACTCTTCCTCACACCCACCGGGGTGTATTTTAGCCTTATGCAAATCTACAACTGCCGTGTAATTAAATAACAAGATCAATCCTGCCTTCTCTGCCTGGTTCCTGTGTCTCACTGCTGGGTCCAGCCTCGTTCCCTGTATCCATCTGCTCTCATGGAGCATCTAGGCCTAGTTTGGACAGTCAGGCAACAAGTCCTGGAACATCCATCCCCAGCAAAGGGGACAAACGCAGATAGTTCCACCCACGGGCCGGTGTCCTGTTTTCAGCCGTAGTTGGTAACTACAGCCACAGTCTGATCATTCAGAACTTTAATTTATATTTATTATGGCTTTGTACACGTGGCCTGTGGCTTCAGCAGACCCGTTTATAGTGCCACCATCATGGCTCTGCCTTCACAGGACACGGAATGTGCTGAATACGGAAAAGTGGTGTCAGTTTTTACACTATCGGGTCTCTGATTGGCACCTGCCATCTGATCTTTCTCCGAGGCAAAGAACACAGCCAGGTCTCAGCAGATTTCCTTGCACAGTGCAGACGGCATGTACCTGTTGCCAGAGTTACGTGCTGCCAAATTTCGAGCCGTCATTCCAAATTAAGATGTTAGAACTTTCCTTACCTATGATAAGTCATTAAATATCGCTCAATTACCCTTGCATTGAGCCTTTTTTTTTAAACTCAAGCTTACTTTACTGAAAGGCATCCTGTCTTGATTTGGAGATATTAAAAGATGAAGAATCCTCGTTCCTTTGATAAGGCAGGGGTTTTAATGTCTAATCATTCTCACTATAAAACTGTGCCTGATTTCTAATTTAAGCTGGTCTGGCTTCAGCTTCCAGCAATTGGTTCTTGTTATGCCTTTCTTGGCTGGATTAAAGAGCCCTCTAGGACCTGGTATTTTCTCCCTTTGAAGGTACTTATACATCGTAATCAAGCTATCTCTTGATCTTTTTAATAAACTAAACAGATTGAGCTCCTTAAGCCTCTCGTTCTGAGGCAGCTATTCCAGTCCTCAAATAATTTTTATGACTCTGCACTGTCTCCAATTTTCCCGTGTCCTTTTAAAAATGTGGACACCAGAAATAAAGCCACTCAGGGAATTTACAGCCAACTGTTTGTCCCTTTTCCCAAAATCCTTTAGATTCTCTTATTTCCATGCTATGGGTTCTCCAGTCTATAGAAGACTTTCTTGCTCCTAGAAACTACGACCACTGATGTAATTTGCTCCAGGTGAGCCAGAAGTGTTCCCAGACAGGTAACCTAGCACCAAAAAAATGAGTGGACCCTTGCTCCGATCGGTGTTAGCTGTTCTTACACTTTTTTTTTGCCCACTTGTAGGAGCTATTTCAAATCATTAATGTTTTGGAACCAGGACCTCTGTGTGTTTTACATTCTAGGAGAAGAACTTGAGCTGTTTGGGGCAGTCCAAAATTGCTATAGATTGTAAATGAGCCTGTTCATTCTTATAGAGGAAACTGGGGCTTCTGCTGCCCTTCAAAAGTGATCTCAGTAACCAAAGAGGTGTTTTGGTTCTGGCAACAGTCTTAGGAGATAGCACAAGTGGATTGGCCAGACTGGAGAACAGAGTTCAGGAACCACTTACACTTTTCTAATGAGCTCAGGAAGCTGCCCTGGCTTGTACAGGGAATGATGCTGTCTGTGAGGATTTTCTAAACCTGTCTAGTGCTGCTTCTACAACTCAATTGTTGCTTTGTTGTTTGGGGTTTTTTTTCCTGAAATATATTTGTGTTTATCAAAGGGATAGTGGATGACCACTCCCCTCCTCAATAAAAAGGAAATTTTCCAGGTGTTGCTTTGGTGAACTTATTTCTATTGAAACCCACTCATCCTCGTTTTGTCCCCTTTCTGATCCTGTCCCTGTTATTAATCACAGTTATCTTCTGCTGACTATAAGCAAACTGGAGGCCAGATTTGAGATACTGTGTGTTGACAATATTAGGCATTTTTTCTGTTGCACCAACCAGCCTCCAAGATATTTATCCTTGCAATTATCTGCCGGGTAGGCAACAGCTATTCCCTGGTTTTAAGACAGGGAGGAGAAGCTAAGGTATGGGAAGCTTCAGTAGGTCAGGGCTTGAACTCACATCTTCTAAATCTGGGGTAATTGTGCCTCCTCTCTGTTCCATCTTTAAAAAATAAAGCACACACGTTAGTTCTGAGGCTTGCTTTCATCTGCACCGTTCTGCCTTCAGAAATCCTCACTCCTCCTCGCCGCACTGCGGTCGCCCTCCAAGAATTGCACAAAGGCTGTCAGTCGCTTCGGCTTGCCATCATCAAACATTGAGGAGAAATAGGAACAATTACAAGTTTAATATTAAAAGAAGCAATTTCATTTCCTTTCTGGAGTCGGCGTCATTTTTTAATGCTACCTGAAGCAGCAGAATCCCTTTTGCCCGGTGAACGGGGTGCGTTTACATTGACTCGGGTCTCAGCCCAGCATGCAATAGGCGGGAGAGGGGCCACCTGGGCCGCTGGTGGGTCCTGGGAGCCCCCACGCCCCCCGGGCAGGCCCTGAGCTGTGGCTGCGTGATGCGCTGTTTTATTTTTAATTCACCTGCCCAATCGGGCCGTTGTTTTTTAATTAAACTGCAGGAGGGCACGAAGAGCTGCTAAAGGCCCCCGGCTGTTCAGGGGGCCGCTGCCCGGGCCGGGAGCGGTGCCAGCCCCGCTCTGGCCGCGGCGCTGCCCCCGGTGCGGCCCCCGCGCCGCCGCCCCCGCCCGGCCCGGCTGCTCC